TTATAAGTATACTTGCTGCTAAGTCCCCCTGAAACCTCCCAGTAAGGTTCAGGCTTAGGATTTGAGATTTTTCGGTTGAGGATTCCACGTGCCGAGAGTCCCTGTTTAGGGCTTAATTAGGGCGTATTGCTTTGTGCTGTCTAAACCCCTCAACCCCGAAACCCCTAAACCCTAAACGCTAGACCTTACATTTCATGTGAGAATGTTCAGGCCATGCAGCAGGTCGTCCATAAGGCCGCTGAATTGACTGGTTGCTTGGCTTCAGTCAGGGTTTAGGGTTCATTTTCGGGTTTAAGGTTTAGGGCTTAGGATTTAGGGTTTAGGGTTTAGGGCTTAGGATTTAAGAGTTTGGGTTTAGGTTTTGGCTTTATGGTTTAGGGTGTACAGAGACTTTCTGGAGCGTTGACTTTGTGAAATTTTTTGCTGCGCTGAAACTATTTATCCTGGGACTCAGGGTCATTTGCAGCAATGTGAGGCTTTAAAGCATCAGCCTTGCCAACGAAGGGAGGATGCTGTCCAACGTCCGGCAAAGACGCAACCAAGACCGTGTCCAACTTTGTTATCTTAGCATAGCAGCTGAGTTATACTCAATGGCATGAGGGATGGCAGAGATAGCTGTAGGAACGCACCGTCCTACTTCGAAGGGACCGTCTGGAAGGACTCGACAATGAGAAATTCAACTAAGCTATAAGGCTTACACCTGATACCCTACACCCTACACCTTAAACCCCCCATCCTAAAACCTAAAACCCAAGCCCTACACCCCAAGCACTCTTTCATTGTGTATGGGACCTGTAGAATTCCTGCACGAGAGAGCAATTGAGGTTGCCATTGAAGCCATCAGCGTAGGCGACAAATCTAGATGCGTCATGACAAATCTTCTTCATTCTCTGCAAACTTAGTGTTTGCGCCCTAAAGGCGAGACCCTACTCGAAGGTGGGCGCTTGCCCGCAGGGGACATCACATGTCCATGAGATATTTCGGGAAATATTGCTCGTAGCTCATATATACATATATATGTATATGTATATACATATATACACACGCACCCCATATGACACCTAGAACCCATATATATATATATATGTATTTACTTATTTATATTTATATATGCACACGCAGCCCATATGACACCTACCTAACCCTAGAACGCATAGAAAAGGCTTCCCTAAACCTTTAAACCCTAACCCTCGATGCCCAAAAGCCCTAATCCTCACATCCGCCAGCGCATACGAAACCTTACACCCTAAACAATAGTTTCCATGTTATTTTCCATTATCCCTATACCCTAAACAATAGCTTCCATTTTATTTTCCATTATCCCTAGATCCTAAACAATAGTTTCCATTTTATTTTCCATTATCCCTATACCCTAAACAATAGTTTCCATTTTATTTTCCATTGTCCCTAGATCAGGTTGGAGTGAGGAGGAGCAGGCGGCAGTTGCTCAGAAGCTCCATGCTGCAGACATCTGCACGCCCCACGCTTCTTGCACGGAGTAAGGTGTTAGGAGTGTAGCGGGGTTGTAGGATTTAGGGCTTCGAGGCTTTGAAGGTTTTATCGTTTAGGGTGTCAGGCTGTGGGGTGTTGGACGTTTTGGGGCTGGGGTTTAGGGTTGGTTTGGAGAGTCGGTTCAGGGAATTAAGGCATTGCTTTGAGGATCGGGTCTGGCGAGGAGCAGTAGTACAACATGTAGAAGTAAAGTAGTGGCAAGAGGAGGAGGAGTTGTAGTTGTGGTAGTGGTAGTGGTAGAAGGAGTAGTAGTAGCAGTAGCAGTAGTGGTGGTAGTAGAAGTAGTCGTGGTGGTGGTAGTAGCAGCGTCTTAAACCCCTGGCCCTTCACAGAGGCTTTCTTGACAATCATCCTCTCCGGCAACATCAATGCCAAGCTGCCCAAGAACAGGGGCTTCTCAGCGGAATTTGGGGTTTGGAGTTTAGCATCTTCTGGCCGTACCTGAAACCAACCAACCAACTTCCTGATAGATTCATCATACCAGCCCGGATGCGTTAGTATAGAAGTCTGAATGAGCGCCGCTATCATCATCCCCTATATCCCTTGTATACTTACCTTCAGTCGTAGTTGAGACTTCGATTCCATTTTTGCGCCTGTGCCTTTGAAATCCTACACGAACTTCCATATACACCTTAGGGTTCAGGGTCCAGGGCTGGTTCTCCCCCATTCTAACTCCACAGGCCATTTCGGCCTGAACCCTGAATCCAAATTTCCTGCACCCCAGACCCGAGGCCCCTAGACCCCTGAGCCCTAAATCTTAATCACTAAACCTCTAAACCCTATACCCTATTCGGATTCAATACTCTCTTGCGCGCATTATTCTCAAGAGGCCTCCCTTTCAATTTTTCAAACGTTAGGAGTACGAAGGACAATAAAAAGCGGCCCTAGGGCCACATTGTATTCGCATACAATGCTTTTAGGCTTCAGACCATGAGCACAGTCAAGCGCACTCAGTCGCAAAGCCGCTCGCCCTTGTACTTCGGTACGGTACCTACACGCACCCCAATTGATTTACTTATCCGGGGGATTCAATATCTCTCGGCTAAGTGCCTTAACACGACGAGCTAAATCGTTGAATCCTGAACCCTACCTCCACCTTACCTTAGAAGTCCCGCAACCTAAGCGCCATGTTCTTAGGCCCCATGCATGTCTCAATTTCTAAGTAGGATCCCAGTTGGTCGGCCCACCACAATGGTACTGCATAAAATGCTCGGAGCTCAAAGCACACAAGTAGACCCTAAACCCTAAACCCTAACCATCAGCCCTACAGAGTTGCTTTGTGCCAAGGCTTTGGAAAACGGAGCCTGAGACATCTCCAGCGGGTGGCAGAAGAGCTGTCAGAGTTGGAGGGCATCGTGGCAGAGGCTGGCGGGCAGAGTCAGGGTAATCTGCTAGATGACCCGCATGAGTCCTTACCATGGGCACCACCAAAAACGCACTTGTAGCTATGAAAACACTCATATTTCATAGTTAAGGATACCTTTTGGTGCTTTTTGGTTATTTGTTTTCGTTGTGTTTCGTGGGGTGGAGCAGACAGCTGGGGTGGCGGCAACCAGGCTCCGTCAGTAAGTCTTGTGCAAATTCACAACTACACGCCCGCAGCATCATGGCGCCATAGGAAGCTCTGCTGCATGAGCTGTAGTTATGGGCCCTTAGGCCGTTTAGGGGGATGCTAGGACTTTGAAGGGTACAAGGATCCCATGATGATGCTGCTGTGATTTGGGCAAGAATTATCTGGTGTTTGTGCATGGATGCTATTTTGATCGGCTACGAACGAACATACACGTTTTGTCGTTAGCATGGATGCTGCGGTGATTCAATACAGATCAATATGGATATGATTGCGCTGTGAGCATGTCTTTCAACGACATTTAGACCGAATTTCTTGAGTAGCCCTGCTGTGCAGAACACGAAACACAGTGAGCACAGGGAATCGGAAAAGCTGGGGGCACGTGGTTTGGGGCTTAGGGCCTCCTACAGCTTTGGATTTAGGATGTGGAGGTAATACCCTGTATTATAGGGTTTCTTTTGGGGTTCTGAGTTTCCAGATACTAAGTAGCCCCTGTTGAGTCAGGCTTCCACTGATTTTCAATTTTCGGCTTATAAAATAGAATCGTGCATTCTTGGAAACAGCTATTCGACTCTTTAAAAGATCCTCTTGCCTTCCATACACAGAGGCGCTACCTTCTAAAAAAATCTAAACTGTGTTACAGAGTTTTTGCCGGCGGTGTTGTCAGGCAAAACCAGTCTCCTCATATGCATTGCAGAGCTGTAACGTGGTATGCCCCAAAACCGTATCCAACGTATTCTGACTATTTAGGGACCTACTTTCCGCTCGCGGTAAGAGGTAGCATCCTGCCAATGCATAGTCAAAGTGTCCTATCCAAGCCTCAATATCGACTTGCTGCCATGGAATGTTCATCCCCTTTAGGCATGTGCTGCAACCTTCAAAGAAGTCAATTCCCAAAGTGTGAACATCCAAACTAGCACAGTTGGGAGCCAGGTTGCCAAGCATTCGGGATGGTCGTCGGAGGATCAGACGAAGGTGAGGAAACGACTTATCCCGCTGGTCAGTAGGAAATGGAAGAATGGATTCGACTGTTGTTTCTTACATGGACACTGTCAAATTCTGGTATGTTGCAATGGTTTGCTAGAAGTTCGCTGTTGACCTGGGTCCCCAAAAGACCTAGAAGGTCAGTGTTCACAGGTTTGGGACTTGTGGGTTTCGATGCTTGAGGCTTCGGTTCTCAAAGGATTTGGGTAAGTGTTCGGGGCCTAAACCCTAAACCTTAAACCCTGAACCCTAAACCCTGAACCCTAAACCCTAGACCTACGGGTTCAAGACTTGGCAGCTTTGGCCGGCTTAGGCCCGGAACAATGTAGAGGCCTCAATAGTCAGCATGGCATGATTATGGTCCTAAATGCCGAGTAGAACCACGGTTTCGGGTATCTTAAATGGACCGCAAGATGGCATTTGCATTGTACACGCTTATACTCTGTACCTGTCGACCTTAGCAGACCCTGAATCTCCTACCCTAAAGACTAAACCCTAAACCCCTAAACCCCTAAACCTGAATTTCCAAACAAGTTCACAGATGCTTGCAGGATTTCAGGGAATCTTCGGCAAGATTCCTGGGACAAGCCATGAAAAGACATGGGCAAGGATAAAACACGACAAAGTTATCAATATTTTAGGGTTTAGGGTTTCTCCTACTTCCAGCCACAAAACATGCTGCATTCATCAGCAACGTAATTTGAAACGCTGCGCCAGTCTGCAAACATATCCAGTGTACCTCCCAAGCATTGCCGTGGAGTGGTGGGGTGGCTTGCGTGAGGGTTTAAACTCTAAACCCTAAACCCTTAGGGTTTAGGATTTAGGGCTAGGATGTTTTACACACTTATGCTCTGGGCTTGGGCATTCCAGGGATGCCCCGAAGTTGGGCACTGCGGGGAGAGTTTGGGGCACAACAGGAAACTTTTGGGGTACCATGCGTTGGGCACGGCCACGCTCTAGATGAGCTCCCAATGCTGTAACTTGCAGTGGTTGCACGCTCTAGATGAGCTCCAAATGCTGTACTTTAAAGTATCTGCAGCCTCTCTGCAGCCTAAATCATAGGCAACATTTTCAATGATAGGCAAATTCCTGATCCCACCACCCAGATTGATGCAGGTAAAGAGCACAGTCACTTTGGCCGTGGGGCCCTGGACATAAGACAGAACTCCTCGGCTTTAACTCTTAAGCCCTTAGCCTTGTTATATGCGGCAGGAATTTAAGCAGCATCGCAATCGATAAGAGTGCCATGCTTCCCAAGATTCCTCCAGCAAGCTTCCACTTTTAAGGTTCCAAACCGTGATTGTGAAACTAACATGTTTTTGCTCAGGTGGTTCGGAAGTTCGTGATGGCTGGCCTTTGCTCCTGCGAGGAGTTGGCCGACGCACTCCTGGACACAGCTTGAATCATGTTGAAAGGTTGAGGGGTCCCTAAACCCTAAACCCTAGGGTCGGAGATCTCTGGGACTCCTTGTGCCATCTAAGCGGATGCGCAAGCAGATTGTAGAGTTGCATGGGGATGACTCAACTCCAAGCATGCATGAAAGGGCTTAGATCTTGGGGCGGGGGTGGTAGGGTCCTGGCTTGGGTTCTAGGATGGGCATTATATTGGCATTTACTATATGCATTCTGTAGGTTTTTCTCATGGACACTGAGAGAATGTCACGATAAGGCTTCGGTAGGCACTTTACTTGCATGCGGGAGCCATCGCAATGGGTCTCTATCGGTCTTGTATGCAAGGATCGAAGGGCTGCGTGGAAGTGTCAAGGAGTTCTATTGGGTTGTACAGCGATGAAAATGCTATGCAATCACATGCTGGGGTGATATGGGGGCTTCGGGAGGCCTACCCAAGATGTAAACATTTCAAGCTTGAACCCTAACGTTACGTAAGCCTTTTAACCTTAACTGTAGAATGCTGTAGAATCCCTGAACCTTCAACCCGCAACCCTGAAGCTGAATCCTCCGAACCTGAAGCCGGACGCAACCCCAGTTCCCCCACCAAGGGCTCTAGGGATTTAAAGGCCTGAAGGGTTAGGAATCAGTTTCGGGATGTGGGTTCTAGCCAGCATTCTAGCATGTCAAGTTTACAGAAAAGGGGACTCCTGTTCCCACATGCAGTTTGCATGCAGGTGCCGATCCTCCAAGAAAGTAGGATTAGTTCAGAGAAGGTTAAGTTCCCGAATCTTTCAGACCCAGAAATTTCATCCTGTGACCGTAATGCCTTCACACTAAACCCCTAAACTCTAAAGCCTTATAAACTACTTTTTTCCCAACAGGACGGAAGCGTCAACCGTCGCTTGGTCGAGGTGGGTCAGCAAACCTTTGGCCGTCAATCTGCTGCTGCCTTGAAAGCCTGGGCCAAGAGGCCGGGTTTAGGGTTTAGGGGACCTTCATTCTAAGGTTTTGTGTTATATGGGGATTATATAGCGGCTATATAAGGATAATGGAAAGAAAATGGAAGCTACTATAGTATATTGGGGTTAGATAATTAAGGTTTAGGCCAATAATGAAGAATCGAATGGAAAATAAAATGGAGAATGACATGGAAACCCTAGGTCCCTTCAAAGAGAAATGTAGGGCTTACAGTTTCTTTGGGTTTGGGGCCTGGCGGGTACTTGACTGCTGCTGCAGTATATGTAGCACTTCAAGTTCTGTTCTGTTAACCCCTACCTAGACCCTCCAATGTAGTACCTTTTTGGTAGTCCTAATAAGAGTCCAAAAAACCATACCAAACCCAAAAAAGGAACTGCATTGGAGGGTCAAGGTAAAGTCTATACCCCCAAGACCTCTTAAACCTTCTTTTAATTAATAAGTTCCGTTCCCTCATCCCCAATTTGGGAGTTTTGTTTGAGGTCGAGGTGTCTGGGGTCGAGGGCGCAGAGCTTAGGATCTAGGGTTTGAGGGCTTAGAGCGTTTAGGGTATAGGGATTAGGCTTTGGGGTGTAGGGTTTTGGGTTTGGGCTGTAGGGTTTAGGGTTTAGGCAAAAAGTAAAGCTGCCCTGAGAGCGTGGTAGCCCTTGTTGTGGCAAGCTCCACTCCTAGAACCGCACGCCCTACTGGTTCTTAGTACAGACTCTGGGAAATATGGTATCTGTGGGTTTTATAGGATAGTAGGGAATATAGGAAATGTAGGATATAGGGATTTTATAGAGTATAAGAACCAGGAAGATGCATGATTTCGTTGTCAAAACCCTTGGAACCTAAAGCTGGATTTCTGGGAGGAGCACATAGAACCAGAAGTTAGAGGTTAATCATTTAGGGTACAGCATACCCTGAGGTGGAGCGCAGTCAGCTTGGATATCGATCTGGGTTCGCGCTCCCTTGCCGCCTCACGCCCAGGCTCTTTTGGGCTTGCTTTCAGTTCAGGATCTTAAGTCAAGCTACCATAGGAGAATAACATCTAAGCAGGTTTCCTGTTTATGGTAACATAGCTTAAGTTCCTTATGGTTCATAACAGAGACCCAGTTGGGTTTGGTTTAGGGATTAAAGTTAGGTTTAACCTTTGCGTTTGGGATGCGGGGCTTTGGGTTCAGTGTTTCGGTCGGGTCTAAGGTTCAAGGTCCAGACCCTAAACCTTACACCCTAGGGCTTAAGGCAGTGTCAGGTTATGGTACTTAGCGGATCGTTTGGTCCAGATTAATTATCAAGGTTTCTGCTGGAGTTCGCGATCTTATGCTTTTGAGCTTGCTTTAAACCAATTAACAGAATTTGGCAGTTGCTTTTTGCCAACCCTCCCTAGCCCTTCCCCGAAAGCCTTGTTCACTTCATCCCTAAACCCGAAACCCTAAACCCTCACACGCACAAACCCAAAGCTGACGCGAAGGCTCGCGGACACAGAGCCCAGCGCCAGACAAGGCGCGCAGGCGATCAGACTCAGAAGTCCGTCTGCAGCCTTTGATGTGGAACGACTGATGTGATAAATTTCACGCAGCCGCAGCCCAAATGTTGGGCTTTAGGACTTACTTGGAGGGTCAGAGCGACTTAGTAAGTAGTTAATAATGGGGATAAACAGGGTTACCATGTGGGTTATAGGGGTTATTAACCTACTTACTAAGTCCCCCTGACCCTCCAAGTATAGGTTTAGGGTGATATTGTAGATATACATATATAACCCTAAGCCCCTAAACCGATTTAACACGGAAAATAGTCCCCAAATGTGTTCAGCCCCGGGCCCCCGGGTAGCAATTGCAGTGTAGCCAGCTCATGAAGCAAGTTAACGGTGGTATCCTAAGCCCAGCCTATAATTTAAATAGTCCCCCTTAAGTAGATAGAATATGGGGAGTGGGAATTTCGAAGTTCACGGGTAGTTCTACCTAGGATTCTAGTAATGTGTACCCGAACTGAGGTTGTAACTACGTGTAGTTATCCTTCTTATAACCCAGTGAAATTTATCCCTTCCCCAAATTCTAGAACACCCCACCGCCACCACTAACAATAGATACTCACCCAATACATGCTGTTACAAAATTACGAATGTATTGCGGGATGGGCAGTTGGTTACCCCTGAACCTCTAAACGTGGTCTGGAGGAGCCCGCACTTCCGGCAAGATTTCGTTTTCTCATAGGTGTTCAATGACCCTAAGGGTCCAAGGACCCAAATAATAGGGTTTCAGGGCCCAAATACCATGAATATTACGGTATTTGTGCCCTAAAACCCTTTTGTTTGGGTCCTTGGACCCTTGGGGTGAGTGTGCCTCCAATTTCTTGGACATGTTGAGAATCCAGTTAGCAGGATCATACTTTGAAATCCTACCATAGGGGAGTTTCTCAGGATAAGCTCCACAGACTCCTTATTAGGGCCCCCCAAACCCTATTTGTCCTCAGGGACCCTAAGCCCTAAAACTCAAAGACCCAAAACCCTAAACCCTCGTTTTGAATACCCGTGTATCCTTCCAGAACCCGTGTCATCCAGAGGGCCTGGACGGGATCTCGGCTGTGTATCTTGTAGTATAGATATAGCGATTCTAGGATACATGTAGGGGTAACATAGGGATAACCATATAGGGTTACATTTGGATTATACCCTAAACCCTAAACCCTACGCATCAGGCCATATCATAAGTAATCAAGCGGTACAGGAGGCTCAGGCCCTGGGGTAAACTTTTCAGGGAGCGGTGTACCATAGCAGTTGCCCAAGATTTGGAGTCTAGGCGTTTGTTGTTCAGTCAGTGAAGGTTGAAGCGGATCAAGGTTTGAGGACTTTGGGGTTGACCCCATTACCCAAACTCTAGGCTGGAATTCTGTGGACTGCCCCTCGGCTCCACAGCGAAAAGTTTTCTGCCTTTGGCCACGCTTGCTTCCTGGAGCTCGCGCTTGATCTGCTTACCCTAAACCCTAAACGCTTGGTCCGCTTGCTTCCTGAACCCTAAACCCTAAACCCCAAACCCTAAACACTAAACCCTAAACCCTAAACCCCAAACCCTAAACCCTAAACCCTAAACCCTAAACGAAGCTTGCGTTTGATCTGAAGGCCCTGTACTTAGCAGGTCCTGGAGTTGCCTTGCGAAGCAAGGCAGCTTTAGCGCAGCCTCAGGCCCAGAAGTTCTAAGGGGGTGTAGGGTTAGGAAAGGTAGGTGTTTAGGGTTTAGGGTTTAGGGTTTAGGGTTTATGGTGTAGGGTTCGGATATGTAGGGGTTTATATAGGGATATATAAGGGTACATAGGGGTTATTGGGGATACCGTCTGTAGCGAATTTCGGGCATCTGTGGTATATCCATTTGTTTCACCATGTCGCCCTAGCCAACAATGGCGCGAAAAAGAGTCATCAAGAAAGCGTCCGCACAGTCTCGACGTTCATTTCAGTTGCTCACCGAATTGTTTCGGGTATCATTTCATATTGATAATCAAGTATTGAAGATCAGCAAGGCTTCTTGATAGTTCAGGAATTTCCTGCAGACCTTATAGAATTTGAGCTGATAGATTGATCTCTGTCAATTGCCGAAATCGAAAGTTGCTTGCTGCTCCATGCAGCTGCTGCTGCTGCTGCTGCTGCTGCTGCTGCTGCTGCTGCTGCTGCTGAAATTGCTGGTTTGCAAGATTAGGGGTCCCAAGGTTTGGGCTCAATATCTGAGAGAGGACTGCTCTTCTTGGGCCGTTTTCAGAGATCTTCTAAAATGGGAAGATATGAAATCAGATATCTTGAATTCTATGAAATGATCTCAAACTGACTAGCCTCAATATCTCCTTTCCTCCTCCCAAAGGGATCATTCTAATCTCCAAAGCACGTTCACGAAAAAATTCTGCCAATCCGACATCCTAATCTTTTTCAGTTCTTGAGCCAGCATCGACGATTTGATGCGTATCATTCTCGCGCAGATGCCATGTTCCTGCGGGTATCATTCTTGGGCAGGGGCCATTTTCCTTGTGCGCCAAAATCTCCTGCATGCCTACTCATAAATATTATCATTAATGGAAACGAATAGATCTATTCTATCGATATAGATTTAGGTATTATCTAGATAAAATATCATTGATCAATTTTCAAAGATAGTCTTTATTCATATTATATATATATATTATATTTCTGAAAATATTCTGATTATGAATATTTCGGACGACGAATATGAGAATTCGTTGATAGAATTCATATATTTTTCTTGATCGATATAGGGAAATCTATTTCTTGAAATGATGAGAAAGAAATAATATATCTTCTTGATATGAAGATTTATATTGGCGAAAAAAAAAAAAGGATGCGGCAGAGATATCTCAATAATATCATTATAGATTCTATCTTTTTATAGAATAAATTATTGGATTGATATAATTCTTCTATAATTTTGGAGGCTTCTCATTTTTTAATATATTATATTTATATCATATTTTCATATAAAGATTAATTCGATTTCTCGATATTAATTAATAGCTATGATGATATCTTAATTTATATATGATTGAAGATTTTCATTATTAATTTGATATTATTTATTTATCATTTTACTATGATTTTTACGAATTTTCAATAAATTAGATTATGAGCAGATATTTAATAGAATTTTATTTCTGCGATGATTCTGCGATTTCTCGGATCTATTTAATAATTATGATTTCTCTAAATATTCGTAAGATTTAAATTTGAAATCTAATTTTATAAATTCTAATCTTCAAATAAATTTTTCTCAAAGAATTAATATATGATTAATTGATCTAGATAGAAGAAATATTCATATATTATTTATATATAGAAATATTCGAAAGGTTCATTTAGGAATCTAATTAAGAATATATCTCTTTATATATTATAAATGTATTTTTCTGATAATTTTCTATAATTTGCGAGATTTCGGATTTCATTATTCTTTAATTATATATATAGGTAAGATTATTTATATATATGAAATATTTTGATGATAGATTTTAAGATAGCTATTTATCATTTTAAGATTTCGAATATTTATTATTATTCTGGCAATTTATATAGAATATATTAAAATGAATTTCATGGATTTCATCATTCGTTCTATCAATAATTTCTATGAGGAGATATGATAAAGATTTTCATCATGAATGATATTTGGATAATCTTCAAATCTTTGCAAATATTATTCTAAATATATTTATATAGATTTTTAGATAATCTTCTTATGATGCTTATTAACTTTATATCTTGGGCATATTCGGAATCTTTCTATAATCTTCTCTAAAATATAACAAAAAATCAATTTCTATTCTCATTAAATATCTTCTTCTGAAATTTCAATGATATCGTTATTCAATATATATTTCTAAATTTTTAGATTTTTATGATTTAGGAAGAGATGATATCGTATCTCGTATTTTTCATTTTTTATCTCTTATGATATGAATTCTTATGCGTCGTAATTATCGTCTTATTTGGATTTCATAGTTTTCATGAAAATCGATAATATAAAGATCATAGAGAATCATCATAAATATTATGATTTTTCTTTTCATAGGCATCAAATATAGGATTGGAGAATATCCTAATCATAATCTTCGTAATTATCAATATTTTTTGATATTGCAAATCTAGAAAGAATCAATATTCATAAAGATGATAGGAGATTAATCACGATCCATGAATTTTCATTATTTTTGATGAAATAGATCTCTAAAAGATTAATCATCTCAAAGACGATATATATCTTCCCCGCCTAGAGCATAGGGGAGAGGGAAAAGATCTGAATTGTCTGGCAGGAATGATAGAATTACGATAATGAACGAATTTGCCTTAT